GATGTGTCTGGCAATCAAAACAACTCGCCTTTCGAATGTCAAAGCCTTCTGTGACAGAAATAACCAGAAAATGGAGTGAGCCGCCCATTGCTTCGATATTTGCGCGTTTATCAGCTGCTGATGTTGATTGCATTTGACGTGGGTCAATATGATACCGTGTGCATGCGTGAACATCCAGAGGATGGTTTAATGGCGTACTCGAGCTCTAACCTCGTGCCATGACTCTGCCTGTCTATGCCAAACATAATATCTTTCCCAGCTTCCTATCATGAGGGACAGCTTAGTCGCCAACATATCGCAACTGTCGCGACCTCTCGCGACGGAACAGAACTAACCTTGGCCTCGCATTATTAATTTGCGTCAGCAATGATGTGGGATAGCAGCCGTGCCTGTTTACGTTCAAAATGGACAAGCGAAATTTACCACAAGTTGCAAGCATTACGTACGACACGAAGAGTTCACTACAGGCGACCCAGAACTGAAGTAGTTGCTTTGTATCTGCATCAGCACCTATCCGCTATAATTTGCTGTTGGCCTACAGTAATCCCATTAACCACATATGTGAACACAATATGTTTCGGTCTTCAAAGGCAGCGTCCCACTAGACTGGTGGATACCTGGCTCTGATAGTAATGTAATAGTAGGCCCCCTAACTAAAGACGACAGAAGTTTGCAGCGCGAAAGGGGGCTTACGAACTACAAATACCTCTCAAGCGGCCCGGATTTGAGATGCATGCAAGGTAGTGACGCAGAGTCGTTGCGAGACTCGCTCATGACTGTGTGCGCTATGCGTGCTCTGGCCTTGCAGTTTGAACTGCTATGGGCGACGTCCGGACCTACCGTAAGATCCGGGCCGCTTTCGGAACAAATCTCAGGCTTGCTAGAATCCCCTCGATAAAGGGTCTACTTCGACATCTCCACAAAACCCGGGACCATTTTTTTGCCGGAAGCTGCCTTTTTTGCCGGAAGCTGCCTTTGAGTCTGAATATGTTATTTTCTTGTACTGTAAATGCCTTCATCACCATTATTACTATGCGCATCCTTTCTACTTCGTGCCTAAAGGCAAATGTATTGAGTGGGCCGGTGGAGTTTTGAAACGCATTTTTCAAGACTTGCGCATGAATTGGCGAGCGGGGTTTGGGCTACAATGTAGGGGTGATCTACTACCTAACTCCACCAAAATCCGAGAAGGGTTTATCTTGCCAATCCACTGCTTTCAAACTCTGCAATTGTAGACTGCATGGCTTTGTAAGAGGAACAGTGAACATAGGCCTAAACTTCCACTCGCATGCATACTTTGTGTGGAATTACGCACGATACAAGTGGTATTGAGCACAGTCTGCTCTGCATGACTTAAACTGCCAATGCTATATGCACATTCCTCTCGTATATTGTCAAATATACTGTTCGGTTCTCAGCAATAGTCTTCACAATCTCATGGGGCATTTTATTCTAAAGTTAGCGCAGTCATTTATATGAATCACGTGCTCGTGAACACATCTAATGATTTAAGTTAATAAAATTCCAACTTCACTGTGATGTAGTGTTATAACAGAACAACAATATCTAATATCAACATATAAAGTGCGGTTCGTAATTATAGAACTCCCAAAATTTCGTAAGTTTTTGGACTTTTTGGGAGAAACTCAGAAAGCCGTTGATACCACGCGATAGAACACAGCCGAAAACGGTACATGGTTCATAAGAATGGAAATCGATGTCAATTGTAGGAGTGTTTTGCGCCTAATGCGAATTTTTAGCGGTTCATAATCATACGAACACTTCAAACAAAGGTCCATTTTTCATTCAAGATTGCAATCGTTTGAGTCCAAATTTTTTGAAGAGTTACGGTAACAAAGTCTGACTATCTGCTACACACTGAACCCAGTGCAGTTCAAAACGAGGACCGTTACTTTTTTCAGAAGGCTTCAAATGCTTTTGGAGTGATTGAGCTTCAGAAACATCCGTTCTTCTGTGGTTTACGCGCTCTAATTAGCTTCTACCAAAGCTATGAGATAAAATAAGCTCTTGCGATAGTATTTTGTTTGACGCTCGGAAAATCTTCGCATTTTCGTGCCGTTTTTCAACCAAGATCCAACCTTACTCTATAATTGGCACGATTTTGAGCCTCAAAACTGAGCTTCTAAAGCCGTACAATGAAGTAAGCATATAGTATGTAGAAGTTTACAAGACTTTATATTTGGCTAGAAAAAATCAGCAGCGTTGAGCGTTTGTTTTGGTCACGCAGACGTTATTTCACCAGAATTACTGTTTTTACTACTGCAATCACACCTTTATTTGGTTTAGAGCTCCACAGCCGCAAGATCAGTTCTAGAAAAAACCCAAAAACTTTGGCACAGAAATATCATCATGCAAGCAATGCAGCCGCTTCATATCAAATGTTTGCGCAAGAGAGAAGCTGAGTTTTGAGGCTCGAAATCGTGCTAACTCTGTGGTAAGGTTGAAACTTGGTTGAAAAACGGCAGGAAAACGCAAAGATTTTCAAGCGTCAAACAAAATACCTACCGCAAGAGCTTATTTTATCTCATAGCTTTGGTAGAAGCTAATTAGAGCGCGTAACCACAGAAGAACGGATGTTTCTGGAGCCCAATCACTCCAAAAGCATTTGAAGCCTTCTGAAAAAAGTAACGGTCCTCGTTTTGAACTGCACTGGGTTCAGTGTGTTGCAGATATGTCCTTTGTTACTGTAATTCTTCAAAAAATTTGGACTCAAACGATTGCAATCTTGAATGAAAAATGGACCTTTGTTTGAGGTGTTCGTATAATTATGAACCGCTAAAAATTCGCATTAGGCGTAAAAAACTCCTACAATTGACATCGATTTCCATTCTTATGAATCATATACCGTTTTCGGCTGTGTTCCTTCGCGTGGTACCAACGACTCTTTGAGTTTCTCCCAAAAAGTCCAAAAACTTACAAAATTTTGGGTGTTCGTATAATTATGAACCGCACTTTATGTGCCTAAAACCAGAAAATTACATCAAGATGGATATATCATTGAAATTGGTGTTTGTATGATTTACTATAAATTTCGTTTTCCGCTTTTTACATGGTGCTACAACTATGCATTGCAAACATTTTTCACTAGTGCGGCAGTTCAATATGGAGCTGTAAAGGGAAAGCGGACAAACAGCTTTATCTTCATAAAAATAACTCATGTGTACTATGGAATACATGTGCATTTCCTATCAAACTCTCAATTTACGCTGTCAAAAGGATGTAACAATACATGATTAGTGAAACTTGAAAGTAAGAGGAAAAATGCGCCAAAAGGCTACACAACTCAACAAAAAAAAGACTGCTTCAAAAGTCAAAAAGCTCTTGTGACTGTACGCATACCATGAAAAATAGCCAACTTACTAGCCAGAGCAGCAGAAAGCATGATCGAGATTGCTTTCTGACACTTCTCACAAGTATGTAAAAATTCAACCAGAGGAAACCCTTCCGCAAAGCACTTTTTCAGATCAGCCGCTTATTTCAAATCGTACGTAGTATATCATCCGAACACTAAGGCTGTCGGCCTTTCACAGCGAGCAATCTAGAAGAGTTTACACCTAAGTTATCTCCACTGCACCTTAAATGAGGAGAAGTGCACTTTGACACGAAGACATGGCCGTTTATTTCACGACGCTTTAGCGTCAATTGCGAAATATCATTTTTTGCTTTTTACTCAACACACGATATATTTATCATACCAGAAGTTTTGCAACCACTCTCGAATTTTTTTAGCAGGTTTGCAGAGTTTTATCAGTTCTACAATGAGATTGCAAAAGCGATCCTGCAAAATCCCTCTCGCAACCGTGTCCACTTCTGCGCTTCGGTAATAGTAAGTTCACATAAAACTGTCTTAAATTATAATATGTTCCGGCTGATTGGATTCCTTTAGCTTCCACTGTGTTTCGAGATCAATCAGGTGAATTTTGTTGTAACCATTTTTGAGGCATCACTATAGAGTTACTCGGATATTTCTCACCGTTGAGATAGTGTTTGAAATCAAATCACGAAAAAGTGAGGTGAGAAGAGAAAAATTGTTCTATGCACATGTAAAAGTTAATGTCGGAGAAGGTGCAAAACTGATACTGAGCGGTAGCGAATGTTTACCATCAAAAGCCTTGCGCCTGCACTTTGCGCTTAATAAAACCACCTTCGCGCCCTTAGGTAAGCGCATTCCTCTAGCCATACCTTTGGACTTTACTCACACACTACAACAAATGTAATGATAGCAGCACTAGTCCACAATTAATCACTGCGTGGCCTCGGCAGTAAAAGTAAGGACTCAAAAATTAGTCAGACTCATTGAGGTACAACCAGTGAAATTAACAAAAATTGAGGCAGGTGAAGATTGACACCAGGCATTGTTGCAAGCAGCTGCAGCGTTTGAAGCGCCTCAGGCAGCACGGCGGGGTAAAATTATTCTTACTTATACGCCCGAGGCAAAGTTTTAGTACTTGCGCGAATTTGTTGGGAAGCTCACAAGCTAGGACCATTAGAAAACATCGGAATGTCCATGCTTCATCGTTCTGGCCTTATTCTTTGCCGCGCTTCTAAGTTTTAAAAGGTTCCGTTCTTTGTTAGATGCGGAGTAACTAAAGCGATTCAATCGAATACAATGGGCAAAAGCAACGTAGTTGGCATACTATTGATTTTACACTCTGATCAACAAATCAAGTTACAAGCAAACAACCATTGAAGAATCCAAAAATAGCATTTGAAATTATGAGCCAATCCTTTTTTTTGTATGGAATCACAACCACTGAAATAGCAGCCATTCGCCACTTCTTTCAAGAGAAGCTTATTGAAAAGTCTATTGCACTTGCAGTACAGGCCGATTTGAAAAGATGAAGATGTCATACAAACATCAAACATGCACATAAAGACACAGACGAATAAATGCTAAGCTTGGTACGTCAGAATTCAGTGTTAGGTTGCACTAGAAGGAGTATAAGTATCATTTGGGCTTCACAACTTACGCTTTTCAGCAAGAAGTTTTCTATCAAAGATGATTATTCGAGCGCGTTGGTAAAAAGATACGCGGCAAAAATCGAAGCTCTCGATTTTGGACAGGCGAAGATAACAGCTAAGGTATTTGCAATTTATAGGCAGCAAAGAAGAGATGGATTTTAATTAAGATTATTGATGACTTTGTCAATGCAACAACGGAAGGAAAGATCAAAGATTTCATAAAAGAGGATGTAGTGGATGGTGTGTTTTTCAAATCCCTCCCCTTTCTTCATGCATGCGTACTACTAAGGTGCAATCTCGCTTATTGTAAACGCTGTTTACTTCAAAGCCGACTGGTGGAACAAGTTTAGTCACCATTTTACAGCAAAAGATGTCTTTTATCATTCTAAGACCAACAAAAGAGAGGTGATTCAGCAGCTTTGCTCATGAGACTGGTTTGCAGCTTTGAGCAACTATTTCAGACGGAGTTCATGAATGAATATAGTGAATATCGTTTATATGCCGAAAACGATGACGTTATGGTGTTGTCGTTACCTTACAAAGACAAGTCTTATGCCTTCACCGTACTTCTGCCAAAAAAGAGGTGGCTTTTACTGCAATTCAAACCTTGTATGAAGACATATTGCTTTCGTGCCGTTTTAGATTTGGGCTAAAAGATCTCAGAACGCGATTGAATGGGCTCATGATCCGAAATTTGCTCTCACAACTCAAACCTGAGTATTTGACGGTTAGTGAATCGAGTTTGACACTAAAATACAAGAATTAATTTAGATACGCATTCCAAAAATGAAAATAGAGACCAACTACAAATTGAAAGAAGCGCTCAAGCATATGGGAATCACTGATCTTTTCACAAACCAGGCCAATCTAACAGGAATTTCAGACCTACCTTTGCATGTATCCAAAGCAGCGCATAGAGCTCTAATTGAGGTAGGTACAGGAGGCTAATGAGGACGTTCACTTGTGCCCTTACAAAGAAAGGATACTTGGTCGAAGTGACGCTTTCATATGAAATGTATATTGTCTTATAGAGTAAAAAACGCTGATTCCAAGTCTGTTTTTGTTATCTGCAAAATGCTTCTAAGAGGGAAGTTATAGGAATTTTTTGGATGAAAAATTCAGTGGCCCGGTTAAGGTAAAAAAAGTGTACATGACTTTCCGACGTTTGAAAAAAGTAATGACTAGCATAAGTTTATTCAACGAAAAATATTGCATAAAGCGTCCTGGCAGTAATCGTGGCCTGGTTTGTCAAAGACTGGAGTTCTGCAGTTCTTATTGTAACGGTGCGTTCAAATGTTTGCCTCATAAATTCGCGCAACTCATCTCTTAGAAGCGCTTTGCAGATATAGAAAGAAAATTGGAATCAGCGTTCAATGCTTTATAGGATAGTATACATTTCATGTGGAAAAGCCACTTCGACCGAGTATCCTTCCCTTGTTAGATCCGTATGTACTTCACATCCAAGGGAAGGTAAAAACTACTGCTTGGCAGTTAGGCTGTAACAGTCACAAGATCAAGCCAGAATACGGTTATCCCTCTCAAGGATTTGGTCGAGACGGTATGAGACAACACAATTTTGCATTATTTTTCCATAAACAGTATAAAAAAGAAAACTTTAGAGAAACAGTGCAGCTCCTTTGGGATCAGAGGATGCACAATTAGCGAAAATCGCCAGATGGGAGAGAATAGAGCTTCTTTAGCAGAGATAGGCAAGAAAATGTTGCGCTTTTAATCAGTGAAATTGAGGGTTAACTTTTTTTCTTCACGAATCTTCCCTTCTCGACAGAAAGAACGTGCATACGGACCTTAGAGTTCACGCAGGAGGGTGGTTGATTTTATGCGGAAGGAGGGGCTGCCTGAAACAATCGCCCATTGCAAAATATGAGTTTCGAAGGAAAAACTGCTTATGGGGCAACGGTCACTACGCAAATCAGGGTAAGTGATTTGAACGTAAGTCCAAAACTGGGCCTCAGTGTCAACTGGCATAAATTTTCCCTTCAATGGGATTATCATATTTTCAACAACTTCATCTATTCTTTGGACTCATCACTGACTAATGATCGTCGGAGCCACCATTACCATTGACAATTTTCTCACTTTGAGATTTATATTTTGCAACGGGCGAAAGCGGGCGCTTGCTTAGGGATCTGCTATGACACAGCATAAAAATCTCACTATCTCAAATTTGAACACGGAGCTCCTGACTATCACTTTTAGATTGATGAAGAAGGAACTACTGCAGCTGCTGCGACGTATTTCGCAATGCTTCTAAAGGCAGGACCAAATATGAACCAACCCAAAATGTTTATAGCAGATCATCCTTTCTTATTCATCCTCACCAAAGACAACAACCCCTTCTTTATTGGGCAATACGCATAAATTGGGCAATACGCATAAAGCTGTATCTAATGGCTGAATAAAATTGAGACCGAGCAAAATCTATTTTTGATGTAAAGATTTGGGAGGGTACGACAAGTAGCTGAAAGTTCAGCATGCCGAGTTACCCCTTTCTGCAAATCTTGAGACGGATTTGTGTTTAAACTCTCTACTGTAAGCCTGTCGCGACTCTCTAGAATGGCTTTGCTATTGAAAATGAGTGCTATTTTCGCAATCAACATGTTCGAGTCTTTACTAACCATAGTCTGCAATTGTACTTTCAAAGAGTTCTTAACAAATTAAATCGTCAGGTTGTCTACAGGGTGTCCCAAAAAGATGTGCACACTGTTTGATTGTAAATAACTGTTTTGTGGTGAAGTGTTTCAAGAAGCTTTAAGAACCATTTTGTAGAGCGAGGTTCAACTTAGAATTACAGTGTAGAGCGGATCGCCGATCTCTCATTCTTACTGTGGGATTACGGTAGAAACTTTGAAGAGGGTTTTGAGCCATGAAAGGCCATATTTTGTTCCAAAAAGAAACCAAAACAACCTGAAAACTCTCACACTGGGCCAACTAGAGTTGCTGTTTCTAAATGTGAAGTTTGCAACTCTTCTTAATGCTTCATTAAAAAATTATGCGAGGTAAGCAGTAGCAGACGTTTTTTAAATGTTCCTAAAAAGTGCGGTTACACGTTTAGAAAGCTTTTCAACCTTGTAAAGAGTTGGATATTGAACTCAGGGTCCATAAAAATCCTATTACACAAATTTCCACATTTTTTTTTGAAAATTTTGAAACGGCCCCTTTTTTCACAGTGACACCATATGTTTGAAGTTTCTACCGTACTCCTACAGTAAGAATGAAAGACCGGCGTTTCGCTCTACACTGTAAATCTAAGTTGAACCTCGCTCTACAAAATGGTACCTCAAGCTTCTCGAAACACTTCACTACAAGAGAGTTATTTACAATCAAACAGTGTGCACATCTTTTTGGGACACCCTGTATTTGTTGGGTTGTTTTGGAAACAACTGTAAATAGTTTTCTGGATGCTGCTCACAACATCCAAGAGCACCACAGACTGCCAAGTGCATAATTGAAAGAATCCCTGATCTGGGAAGATATACCTTTGCAAGAAGTATGGGCAACGGTGGTCCACATCGTCCCTGCGTAAGTACGGGGACCGCCGGCTCAAGTCATCGTCGTCAATTGGTTAAATGCACCTAACCCCGTAGTGATGATGGTGAGATTTTATCCTGTATACAGCGGGACTCTAACTGAGCAATCGCCCTTTTCTGTTGTAGAATACGAATTTAAAGCGAAAAATTGTATCAAAAAGCAGAAGAGGCATTGGAGACTCAGCACATCAAGGTGAGTGGTCTGAAGATAGCAGATTTAAACTAAGCTTCAACCCTTCGGACCAGAGTTTTTGCAAGCAAGCAAAAAATCTCGTCTCCTATTGTTTTTTGCTTACTACCATACGAACAGCATCACAGTGGAGTTTGGAGTCTTTTTAGCCCTATACACTATTTCGTTTTGATTTTTGATTTTTTTGTTTCGCTTTTTTTTATTTTCAAATCTTGCCCAATACATGTAGGCTCGCGAACAGTTAGCAACTACATACATTTGCACAACATTGTGCTCAAAACTTTCTGCTAGTATTATGGGTATTTTTTTGGCTAACAAACGAGATTACTGACACGGTGCTGAAGCCGGCACAAGTTATTGATTGGTTGCAATCCACTTGTAAAAAAGATTGTATTGCTGACAGGAAGACAAATGAACGCGCGCTCAGACAATCGCCGGGGGCGGGCGGTCAGCAGAATTTTTTTGGGGCGTGGCCAAACCTTCGGCGGGCGGCACTTTCTTTACTGTCTAATGTTCTGCCAGCGGGCAGCAACACAGAATTTTCTGCAGGCGCTCGTCAAATAATCTCTATCAGCGAGCGCTGGTCAAATTTTCAGCTGGCACTCGGACGGTTTTTAAGCAGTTTCGGGCGTACGCCGAGCAAAGGTGAGACTCTACATGGCAGAGGTGTCATCGATGGTTTAATTACACAAGTTTGAGGTAGTTTCTCTCAGCGGAAAGTACCTGGTGGCTGCGCGGTCCTCCACAAAGAACCGTGCGGCCCCCGAAAATTTTGCATGTTTTCGCGGAAAGTCCGCGAGAATGCGGCCACTGCGACGCAGCTAATCTGTAAGGAAACCGCAATTGTTCTTCAAGCACTCTTCTAAAATTTCGCTAAAATTCTTCCAAATATCTGCAAGCGGACCGCAAGAAATCAGCGAACTATTTTTCGTGCCCGCCCAAGAATCGCATAGCCGCCTGCCCCATTATCTGAGCGGTTCCAAAGTTACATTTGGAAGTCAAAGGCTATGTGAAGCGATCTATAGCAGTGAGTAGTAAAAATATGCTCCAGTAAGTTTCTGAATTGATGGTGGCAATTGCCACCACCAGGTCCGAAAGAGTTAATGTAGCTGGGCTTGCATCCTATTTTCATTATAATCACCCAATCTTCCAAATTTTCTACCTTTTTTTGAATTATTACATTCAAATGCACTTCGATGGGAGGAAGTCACCACGGCCGCTTCTACCTTCAAGCAATTTTCTCACCCCAAAGTTCATATTTTGCAGCTGAAGTGGGCGGTTAATCAGTCAAGAGCCTCGCCATTGCAGAGCATCGTACCCTTGCTATCCTCAATTTGGATGAATTGTGTCTCCAACTATCACTTGCAGGTTGATGAAGACGGAACGACTGCAGCTGCTGCTACTTATTTCGTATTGCGATTGACGGCGGCACGACCGAATATGAACAAACCCAAAATGTTCGTAGCAGATCATCCTTTCTTATTCATCCTCACCAAGGACAACAACCCTTTCTTTATTGGGCAATACGCATAAAAACGCTGCTTTATTTAATGGCTGAATAAAACTAACGATAAGATCATGCAAAATCCTTGGTTATCGCACTCTCATATCTGATACTCTAATTAAGAGAGTGATATTGAAGAAGTGGGAACGAAAGCAATGCCATAGATCGCTCTTCAATCTTTTAAGCACCAACTTTTTAGAGGGTTTTCAAAACTGTTTATCTTATAGTTGAGAGAAAAACGCTGATCTCGTATAGATTTCACATCCAGTAAGAAAAGATTGAAAGTACGTCATAGGCTATCCAATGAAAATATGTCTAGCATAATTGACGCTCTGAAAACTAAATCTCGATTAAGAGGCTGGCTTCAATAACAAATTATTAGGGTGAACGGCAAAAAATGGGACAGCTGGATTTTTATTACATTTTGAGATTTTTTGTTTCGATCAAGAGCAAGTAGGCTGCAGCTTAAACGTCGCTTACATAACCGACCTCCGCCTATCATTCTGGTAACGCGTTTACCCTCCTCTCCCACAACCCTGCGCGTGGCGCCGTGAAGAACCCGAACAGGGTTTTTTCAACATCTCTCTTACTTGTGCTGCTATGCCGTAAAGTCATATAGCAATTGACATATCATTCAAAAGAGCTCTTCATGCTCTTTCGAACAATATGTTTAACATATAGGATTTCCCTTTTAATTCTTGATAAATAAAGCAAAATACTTGAAAATTTGCGATTTTTTGGCTCAATAAAACCGAAAAATCATGTTTCAACCTATATCTTCCAAGGACAGATAAAATTTGAGATAAACTGCATATGGATGGATAGCGTAAAGAGCTCTATCAGATGGTAGCCAGATAACGTGCGTTCACTTGCAAAGAAGTAAATAACGCACTTTGTTCCGAAAAATGCTAATGGCCATATCTCCTGACTTTGAGCGTTGCGGCCAGCAAGCCGTCGTGGGTTTGGTGACTGTACCTTCATCCATGTAGCAGTGTTATTTTGGATGGTCTCAAACGTTTCACTGCGCAGATACTGCTCGAAGTTTATAATTTGTCGAAGTGATTAACTTTGTATTTCAGCAAGTATAAAAACTATTAGGTATGTTGATGACCTTATATGGGTGTCATCTGAAAGAGAACAATCACCTGTATCACCTGTATCCCCGTTGATCATCGTTGCACGAGCGGGTACCAGTGATGCCCCCATTCGTCCCTGTCACGGTCGATTGTTGACCAGTGATTACGTATCGCACGAGGAACACGTGGAACGCTCTGAAGGACTTCATTAAAGGACTTCGTGAACATATCTGACCATCGCGTCGGCGGTCTTCCTCGTTCGCGTTTGACGTCCAGTGGGAACCAATTTGTTACAGCTCTCGTCCACCAGTTGTCGTCGAAACGCATCACGTGCCCGGCCCATCTTATCTTGTTCTGCTCGGGAAGCAGTCATGGTTCCGTCAGGACGACGAAGTGCGGTCATCTTTGTCTTGAAGTTGACGAAGCTTCGGCGGGCGTTGTGCGTATACTGCTACTCTTCTCTCCTTAAGGTCTTCTTTTATCGCTTCTCTGCATCGCTCGCAAACGTCAGTCGGTAGTTGCGCTGCCTGTGGCTCGTGCGCATCCACGTTGGCGTATCAGCTCCAAAGTCTCCGTGGTGAGACGCCTTCTCGTATATCTTAGACTCTGAGCTTCCTTGGCACAATCGTGGAGATGTTGTACGAACCGTTCGTATTCTCCGTCGATGTTGTCCATCACGGTATCTCGCCATGAGCCGGATATCGAAGAAAACAGATTCCAGTTGGTGGTATTCATGGGACGATATTTCCTGAACTTGACGGCTCTCTCTCCATTCTGCGGAAAGTAGAATTTGGCGCGTAGGAGACGATGGTCTGATCCCGTGTAGAACTTCGGAACAACAGCGACGTCCGTCAGGCAGCACCTTCTGTTGACAATGATGTGGTCGATCTCGTCATGGTATTCTCCACCGGGCGATTCCCGGGTCCAGCGTCGGGAAGACGGCTTTTGAAACTGTGAGTTCCCATGGACAGTTCTCGTCGTCATGATAAACTCGGACAGTCTCTACCCTTGTTCGTTCCTCTGTAAACCGGGTTCCGATGTGGTTCCTCAGTCGACCTTCTAGTTCCGATTTTCGCATTGAAATCACCGACGATGATCTTGTAGAAGGTATGATCTTCTCTGTAAAACTTCTCCAAGTCCATATAGAATTCCTCGAGTTCGTCCTCGTCGTAGCTGGATGTGGGCATACGCAATGAAGACGGTCAAGGCAGGGATTGATCCACATCTTGATATTCGCAAACGTCCGATTCTAGTTGTAAGTTGTTTGAACGAAGCGATGTTCATGGCCAAACTCGTGTTGACAAGGACTCCCACTCCACCTACTCCTCGACTGTCGCATGTTCATAGGAACAGTTCTTCTCCAGTCTCAAATGTGGCGTTCAGCGGGTGGTGCCTCCTTGTCTCGGTCAGTCCGGTGACGTCGTATTTGATCTTCCTTGCTTGCATTATGAGGTCTTCGATAGATGCGTCCGATGCCAGCGTCCTCGCGTTTACAGATGTCATCATAGTCCGTCTCGTTTTCGGCAGCCTAAATCGCCTTTCAAACCTTGTCCCCACTGGCGCTGCCTTACCAGTGGCTCTTCCAAGATTAAAGGAGCTTTCCATATTATCACTGTGTCGAACAAGATTTTACTCGCAGGGATAGTTTGTTGGGCTCAAAACCTTTGGAGGGACGATCGAAGCTTATTTGTTGCAGGCGACTCCGAACTCGCCTCCCCACACACCTAGCCGGGAAATTAGAGTGCAAGCTTTTAGTGGAGGCAGGGAGTCCGTTTTCCAGCTCCGGTTGCTTATCAGAGTGGGCGCGGGGTCGCTTTTGGTCGGCGATTATCTCCTATCCGCTATCTGCGGACGCCCCACGTAGCCTCGCGACTAACCGGCTGTGATCCCTCTTTGAGGGAGATCCGTGGAAGAGAAGAATGTATTCTAATATCGACCAAAATTGAAAAGCTCAATTAATTCCATTTTTTGAGAAATCTACAGTTATTCTCTAGGTATCCCATTTTTTTACCGTTCACCCTAATACTTCTGCGCTAAAATGTCGGGTTGTACTTCATAAGAAAATTCTTTCAGTTTGGTCTTCCGACTACGTGGGAAATTGAAATTTTTGAGTATTTGAATGATCGTTAAAAGAAAATAGTCAGATATTGCAAAAGGGTTGCATCATATTTTTGCGCAGCACTTCGCGCCGGGATTGTTCACCTACAGATCTTTCCTCTCTGGGTCTGTAAAAGATCCCCGTATATTGCGGGAAATGCCTGCTTTTGGCCTTCTTATTGCCGACAAGAACTGATAGAATGTATAGATCTACAATACCACTCTCGGCATGTGCAAAATTTCCGTGAATGTCGCGATATTCCGGAAATTCCGCGAAAGTCCGCGACGGGACGCGACAGCTACGCAGTGCCATAACTTCTTTCGGAATGAATATATTCTGAATCCGAAGCAGCACTGTGTTCAGCTCATCAAGGCGAATTTCTCCTTGCATGGCATGCCCTTGATATTCCGATTTCAGTATTCCTGAATCTTTCTGTGGATCTTTGCAAAGGTGTAAAGTAGCGCACATTGCCCCTATAGATTCCGTAAGGACGATTCGATAGTACTTTATTTGTAGATTACGAAGCGCTTAAAAGTAGCCGCAGAATTCTTTCCAAAGGAGAGCTGGTAAATTGTGGAAAAATCTTGTCGTCTCAAATTCTACTCGTCATAACACGAGAATAAGGCGCTATTTTGCAAAGCAGAAGTAAGTTTCGTAATCAGCAAGTTGGTTGATCTCTATGAGCAAGTTTTTCGAGATGTTCGGGTTATCTCATTTTTTCTCGTTTTACGCTCCGAAGCCTGCCATGGGTTCCGGCTAAAATATTGATGATCTTGGTTTGAAAATCGCTTATAGAGGTATTCGGACACGCTGTTTACGAAAATAGTGGTATTTAAGGAATACAGGGTCTTCTTGCAGTGATATTGTGAGGTAACTGTAACTGAGTCATGAAAGTTCGTAACTTTGCTTGCACTTCTCGCGTATCTGCCAGAGTACTTGCCTGTTCGCCTTTATATGTTAAAGTGAGTAGGAAACCTTCTATCTCCCGTGGAAAGAAGTCTGCTGATACTTTATGGCGATCCATAATCTACAGAAAAAGTACTATCGAATCGTCCTTACTGGAGTCTACTAGGGCAATGTGCGCTACTTTACACCTTTGCGAAGATAGTCCGCAGAAAGATTAAAGAATATTGAGTTCGGAATATCAAGGGCATCCTGTATACTGAAAGGCCTTGATGAATTGAGTACAATGCTTTTTTCTGATTTAGAACATATTTATGAAGTTAAGGAAGTTACGACGAATAGAATTCGGAAACGCGTAACTTTTCCAGAATTCACCAACGCTTATCTTTTGGAAAAAATTCTGCGGCTACGCTTTGCCGCGCTATAATCTACAAAAACAGTACTATCGAACAGTACTTACTGGTATTCTACTGGTATTTCTTTTATGTTGGATAGGCGCTGCGTTACATCCTTGCAAACAGACCTCCGTAGAAGAACTTGAAAAAACTATAAACGGAATATCGAGGACATGCTATACATCAGAAAATTCGCCTTGGCGAGCTGAACAAAATGCTGCTTTCGGATTCAGAACATATTCATCCCGAAGGAAGATATGGCACTGCTTGGTTTGCGTATTTGCGTGGATTCCTCGGTTTGGAATGTCGCGGATCCCGGAATTCCACGACATTCATGGAAATTTTGTGCCCATTCTGAGAGTGGTATTGTAATAGCATGCTGACCAGGGAAGGCAACATTGGTCGGCGATTTAAAATGAGATGTATCAGTAGACGCGCCTTTGAACGCTAATTCCAAATCTGCTTTTTTTGCGGAGCATTTCCAAAAGTTGTGAGCAGGGTCAAGCAAGGGGTGTGGCACACGATCGCTGGTTACGATTCCCCCCCTGATTGCTGTCTCAATAAGACCCCCCCCCCCTTGAACTATATACCTAAGATAGCATTACCAGAGTTGAAAA